CCATCCAGTCACTGTGTTTTCCCATCTCTTAAGCCCTCCTATTTGTTGAGTGCTCACTGCCCAAGTTGGCAGGTAGGCGATACACAACTTTCATGCTCTTCTGACCTATTTACCCAAGGCACAAAGATGCCAAGCCGCCTGTCCCACAATGCAGATGGTACACAGAGCAGATAGAATGGAAACTCCCAAAGCCAACAACTCAGTGTTAAGAGTGAAGGTCAGAGGAAATGAAGGCTTCTCCAAATGGGAATCCTCTCAGTCCTATACCTAAGCTGCCTTATGGGGGTGGGGGTGGGCACAGTGTGGGGAGACTGAAGTGGAAGGATTACATGATGGGGGAAGGTCTTCCTCTCTCCAGTACCAGTCTCCTTTAGAATGTTTTTTCTAGCTAAGCATGGTGGTGTATGCCTATAATTCCAGCATTCAGGAAGCCAAGGCAGGAGGATCCTGTTTGAGGCCAATTTGGGCTAAATAATAAGACTCATGAACTTGTACCAGCTGTACAGGTTCACGTCTATAATGCTAGCTACTCAGGAGGCTGAGATCTGAGGATCGTGACACAAAACCAGCCCAGGCAGGAAAGTCCATGAAACTCTTATCTCCAATTGACTGCTAGCAAACTGGAAGAGCACTAGCCTTGAGTGAAAAAGCTCAGAGACAGCACCCAGGCCCTGAGTTCAAGCCCCATGACCAACCAAAGAAAAGAAAAAAGAAAAGACCCAGCCACTGATATAATCTGAGCTATTCTGCAAGGCTGAGGTCTGAGGCTCACAGTTCAAAGCCTAACTCAGGCAAGATAAATCCAAGAGACTCGTATCACTAATTAACTAGCAAAAATCTGGAAGTGGATCTGTGGCTCAAGTGGTAGAACACCAGCTTTAAGCAAAAAAAAGCTAAGGGTCAGTGCCCAGGCAGAGTTCAACCCCTAGTATCAGCACCAAAAAAAAAAAATTCTCTGTCCTTGCTTCCATAGTATGCGCTAGAAAGCAAGACCTGGCCAGTGGCCAGCAGAGTGAGTCAGCTGAGTACCTGCCATCCTATAGATCACTGCAAACTCACCCCAGACAGCAGAGTGGCTGCAAAAAAAAACAAAAACCAAGTGTCCCAAGAGGGCTGCCACATGCCTGCCAAAAAAGCCAACGTTGAAAGCACAAGTCAAGGCAGGTGTTTGGCTGGATCGACAGCTCAGTTCATTCTTCTCCAAGGCCTCTTCAGAAGCAGCCTCAAATCCCTGGGCACCAGTGACCTTTGAGTGGTGAAGATTATTGACCTCTGACACGGTGCCTAGAGCTTCTAGAGGCAGCTACGTTGGCATCGGCATCGGCATGACTCAGCTGGGGGAGAGGGAGGGAGAGCAAGGTGCAAAGAGGAGACACTGCTGATCCATGCACACAAGTAATCACCAGACACTGGCAGCTGCACACTGAGTCTTCCAGGCACACATTTCACCTGAGTGGCAAGTGGGTTTGGCTGGCTAAGACCACCTCTCACCACTGGTTATTCGTCTCTCCCATGAGACATTTGCTAGACAGTTCTACTGATGTGCGGTGATGTACTGCAATTCCTCCTCACGGTAAGCCTGTCACGGAGATTGCTCTTCTCATCCCACTGTACACATGAGCAGACTGAGGCTCAGCAAGGGTAGGTAACAAGTGTCACATAACCAGGAAGAACCAGGCCGGCCCAGGCCCCAGAAGTTCACATCTGTGATCCTAGCAACATAGGAGGCTGAGATATTATGATCAGGATTCAAAGCCAGCCCAGGCAGAAGTCAGTGATACTCTTATCTCCAATTAATCACCCAAAGGCCAAAAGTAGAACTTGAAGCTCAAATGGTAGAGCACCAGGCTTGAGCAAGAAAGCTAAGGAACAGTGCCCAGGACCTAAGTTGAAGCACTAGTATTGATAAAACCAACCAACAAAAAAGAGTCCATTCAAAGATGCTAAAAAAAAAAAAAGGCATTTTTCTCAAGTCATGCCGAAACCCTACTTAGCAATGAGTTCATGTCTGAAAGCCATGGTTCCTGGGAATACGCAGAGGAGAGACCAGACCTCACAGCAAGCCTGGCCTTCCTGTCTACAAGGCCCAGAATGCAAAACCATCGACCTTAGGCCCGGACAGCTGTCTACCTGGCCACCACCACAGGCTCAGACGGACAGAGTATGTTCACATAGGGGAGCCTACCAAACCGGGTTTGCTCCTGAGCCCTGAGGTACCCCTTCTGCTCAAGATGATGTTCTGAATGGGAGAATCTCTGGGACAGAGATCTAAACCCAGCTTAAATATAAGGCCTGTCTCTCCCCTAGCCTGCTGACGTTGAAAGCGGTCCTTCTTGACAATGGCGTAAGTGCAGTGAGGATTAATTCTCTCCCCAGGAAAGACTTCCGTGTCCAAAATCTGAGACATCTCATTTAAGACCATGAGTTCCTAAAGCTACTGTTTTATGAGATGGGGGTCTCACAAAGCAGCCAGACCAGCCTCAGACTCAAGATCCTCCTGCCTCCATCTCCCAGGGATGAGTTTAAAGGCATGCACTGCCATGCCCAGCTCCGAAGTCCATTTCTCTTGATGAACGGTTCTGTTCATTGTTCATCATGTGAGAGAACCTGTGCCTGTGTCAGGAATATAAGAGGGTGGGAGATACTGCACTTTCCTCTTTCTTTCTTTCTTTTTCTTTCTTTGTGTGTGTGTCAGTCATGGGACCTTAACTCAGAGCCTGGGCACCGTCCCTGAGCTTTCTGGCTCAAGGTTAGTGCTCTAATACTGTGAGCCACAGTGCCACTTCCAGTTTTCTGGAGGCAAATTGGAGATAAGAGTCTCATGGACTTTCCTGCCTGGGCTGGCTTTTCACCCTGATCCTCAGATCTCAGCCTCCTGAATAGCTAGGATGACAAGTGTGAGCCACCAGTGTCTGGCTTGCACTTTCCTTCTTGAAGCTCAGAGAAAGAGGAGCGTTTTCTGTGTGTCTGTGCTGCTCTCGTAACAAATTACAACTGGGCAGCCAGAAAGCCAGAAGTCTGAAATGAAGACATTAGCCGTTTTTGGTGGCTGCCACAGTTCTTAGTACAAACACAGCCAATCCCATCTCTACTTTCTCCCTGTGTCTCTGTGTCCACCCTTTGGCAGATAACGACCCCAGTCGTTGGATTTAGGTGGTTTGCCCTAAATTCATTATGATATCATGAAAATCCTTGGCATTTATTAAGACCAACTTTCCAAATGAGGTCACATTCTGATGTTTTGAATTTGATGTTCTGATCAATCTGATGGGGGAAGGGAGGCAGCTTCACCCGAACACAGGCAGACAAAGTTGAAAGCCATCACCCTGAGACGCTGCAAGGTCAGGGTACAGCTGAGGTACCTTGGGATACCGGCTCTGAGGAGCCCAAGAGTCAGGGTCTTACGTGGTGAGCAGCCATCAGTGAAACAGGAAGTAACAGTGCACAGGATGAGCTCACCACCTAGGTGAGGCCCGCCACGGGGAAATGACAATGCAAGAGAGCTGGGAGATAGAGGGTGAAGAAATCCAGGTTGTGAGATCATACAGAGCTTAGGGCTACAAAAAGGCTCCAAAGGATGGGAAGCAGAGAAAGTGATCCAAGAAAGTTCACGATGACTGAGGTGAGAAAAAAAAAGGCTGAACGCGATAGAGACCAGATGTGGCTATCTTTCTACCCAGGTGTGTCTACCTCAGAGGAAAAGATCTGAGCTTGGGGCTGCAAGTGGCTGCAACTCTATAGAGATTCTCCATGGGCTATTCGGAGCAGCTAGAATGATTTCCCAACCCAAATGGAGTCATATAGTAATACAACACAGATGGAATCCATACTGGCCAACTCATCCACATCAGCCAGAAAAACAACACAAAAGTCAACTGGGCTTGGTGACGCATGCCTGTAATCCCAGCACTCAGGAGGCTGAGTTAGGAGGATCAAAAATGTCTCAAGGCAAAAAAACAATTTTTTTTTAAATGTAGATGTTGGCCAGCTCTGACACTTGTTCTCCATCTGTGTGGAAAAAGCAGGGAAACGTTCCAGTCCCACTCCATAGACATGCAACCTCAACTCTATAGTGGTCGTGTGCATCTTAACTGTTCATTCATCATGTCCACTCACAAACGAGCATGTGCACCCATGGCTCTCAGCTGCTTTTCAAAGTTTTCTCCCCCGAGCCATCAGGCTGAGTTCTTCATCCTCCCCTTTATAAACTCCAAGAACTCTAAACACAGACTCATGTATGACTCCATTGTAAAATTCTTACTTTTCTCTTGAAAAGGGAAAAAAATTATCTATGACTCAATTGCAATTCTTTTTTTTTTTTTTTTTTGTCGGTCGTGGGGCTTGAACACTGTCCCTCAGCTCTTCAGCTCAAGGCGAGCGCTCTACCACTTGAGCTACAGCGCCACTTATGGATTTCTGGTGGTTTATTGGAGATTAGAATTTCACGGACTTTCCTGCCCAGGCTGGCTTTGAACCACGATCCTCAGATCTCAGCCTCCTGAGTAGCTAGGATTACAGGCGTGAGCCACCAGTGCCCGGCTCAATTGCAATTCTTACATGCCGTTTAACCTGTCTCCTCTGCCAAGTGAGTAACTTGAAGGCAACGATTTCTGTCTTGTCCACCTCTGTACTTCCAGCTTCTAATGTATCTGTACACTCCACATAGGTTGGATGGATGGATTAGGTAGGTGGGTAGGCAGATGGATGGATATGTAGAGTAGATAGGATAGTGGGGTGGATAGATGGATAGATGGATGGATGGGTAAATGAATGGTTGGGTGAATGAATAAATGAATGGAAAAATAGATGGGTGAGTGGGTGGATGGATGAGTGGATGGATGGATGGATGGGTAGATGGGTAGATAATGGATGATTTTCTTCATGCTGGCAAGCTGGTTTTAAACCAGATGAATAAGTAATAAAACAACATGCAGCCACATGATTTAAGAACTGGGTGGAGACATCCACAGAGATGTGAGCTTGGCATCTTCAACACTCACCTCATTCCTTCCGAAGCCATCTTATCCAGGTTGGGGGTGTCCTTTGTCTCTGCCCAATTTGCTCCCAGGTCACCCCATCCCATATCATCAGCCAAGATGATCACGATATTTGGTTTCTGGCCCATCTTTTTCCCACGGATCCCAAAGTCCACAAGAGGGTAAAAAAATCCAGAGAAACTCACTCCCACCAACAAAACTTTCAGAGAAAGCCAGCCCATGCTGGTAAGCAGCTTCCCTCTGTCGGCTGCAAAGGTGAACCACTGCTAGGGATTCCCCCTCAGTGCTCTGTCTGCAGGAAGTCCCCGGGGAGCAGGTGCAGTGTGTGTGACTAGTAATGGCAGTGTTAATGATGAAGGTGTTACAGAGATGGTTGGGGCTACAGAAATGAGGACTCCATCTGAAACCCTAATCCCAGAGAGTCAGGAGACTTGTAAATCACTGGAAGTTCCTCTCCATAGGAGCTGCTTCACCACTGCAGCTTCACACGATGACCACAAACACGTGCAACTATTAGACGCCACAGTCAGCAACTGCTCTTTGACCAGGCAGCAAATCACCGCTCGAGGATGTTAAGAGTCACAGCCCAAGCCCTGTATCTGTGTGAGACTCCATCTGGTGCCTGTCGGATACATTCTCCCATCTGAACACCTGAATGTTCTAGAAGCCGCAGTCAGCCCCAAATGAGTTTCTAAGTTCCAGATGGTTGAGGTTTCTGTCAGGTTTCCTGAAAGAACAAAAATTGACAAGAAAACAGTGTTAAAACTGCCAGTGCAGCTGTGTTTTATCCAGTAGCTTAGGAAATAATCATTTTTCCACGCCAACAGATGTTTTCCTTCTTATTTGAATATTTAACGGGCTCATCAGTTTCTTCCACCTGAAATGCCATGACAATAATATTTGCAATGGACCTCTAGTTACAGGGTCAGAAGTAATATGAGAGATGACTTCTCTCAACCCACGCACAGTGTAGATGGGAGGTGGAGGCCCAGCGTTCTTGGTGGGGAAAGAAGGCTCGGCCCCCCAACTCTGCTAAATCCCAGTGCATCCCCTCTTGCTACCACGTGCCTCTGATTCACAAGAAATCCCCAAATTAATTGTGACTTGGTTAAACTCACTGAGAATTCTAAAAGGTTAGATCATTAGGATTAAGACACAAGTCTTTGTAATATTCATGCTCTAACCTAACCATTTTCAGCCAGTGGCTCACACCTGTAATTCCAGCTACTCAGGAGACGGAGATTGAAGGAGTAGAGTTGAAGCCAGCCCAGGCAGGAAAAGGCTAGAAGAATTTTTTTTTTTAAACCTCCAATTAACTACCAAAAAGCTGAACATGGTGCTGTGGCTGAAGTGGCAGAATGGTAGCCATGACACAAAAGCTCAGGGACAGCATCCAGGCCCTGAGTTCAAGCCCCAGGACCAACACCTACACACACACACACACACACACACACACACACACAAATACACAAACACACACTTGATAGAAATTAATTTGGGGGCGAAGTGGTGATGTGGCTCAAGTGGTAGAGTGCTCGCCTTGAACTGAAGAGCTCAGAGACAGCGCCCAGGCCCAGAGTTCAAGCCCCCCAACCAACAAAGAAAAAAGAAAAAAAGAAATTAATTTGGGAGAAAAAGAGGACATGTAGCAACAAAATTAATAATAGAATCTAGGTGGTAGCAATATGGCTATTCACTGTACTCTCAACTTGCATATGTTTGGAATTAAATGTAAAAAATGATTTCAAAAAATTTTCCTGGAAATATGTCCCTTTTCACCCTAATTATGTAATTTTTTTTTTTTTTTTTGCCAGTCATGGTGCCTGAACTCTGGGCCTGGGCACTGTCCCTCAGCTCTTCAGCTCAAGGCTAGCGCTCTACCACTTGAGCCA